GCCACCGCCGACGGGCCAGCGGGGCGAGATGCGGCCGCTGCCGGAGCCCCTCTAACTTTATTGGGCGGAAGAAGAGGAGGAAGGGACTTTGAGCGACAGGGAGGGGGGATGCAGAGGTAGGTGGTGGTCTCCGGCCCGGGAACCCGAACACCCGTCAGAACTGATCTTTTCCCCAGCCCCCTCCCGGCTTGGTTCCCCTGTGCCCCCTTCTTCTAACTCCCACTCCTCCCAGAGACTCTGACTCTCAACTTGTGCTTTAACAGTTTTCCTCGCTGGTTTCAAATCAAAACTTCCCCGGGGTGGAGTTTGGGGGAGGGAAGCGGAGGGGGAGGAAATGTCCCGCAGGGGTGGTGTGCTCTTCTCTAAAAACATTTTTTTTTTTTCACCAGAAGCAGTCAGTTCCCTGCACCCAACACCCATCAGGCCTTCCTCCGTGCGCCCCGCGGGGCGGCGAGCTAGGCGGCCGCGCAGGCCAGCTGGGCTCCCCGGCCCAGGGTGAGTGTCTGCTTGCAAATTGCAAGCTTCTTTGTCATTGTCCTGTTTTTAAATGTGCTCCCACTTCTGATTTGGGCCGGGGCGGTGTTGGGGGGCGGAGGGTGGTGGTGTTGTGAAGACAAGAGTCCCAGCCGGTAGTTCTGAACTTTTGCACAGTTCGCGTTACCGGAGCAAGTTCTCCAGGATTCCTGCCTTAGATCAACAACCGGATTAGAGGGCGGGATCCTCTGCTCCCTGCACTCCAGCTTCCTTTGGTTGCGGAGAAACAAGATCGCTTTTTCCTTGAGCATATGCATTTCTGGGCCCGAGACTCAAAAGCTTGAGTTCTGAAACGCTTCTCTAGGTTTCTCGAGCTCTTGCGTCCTCCTCAGATCCAGGACTGCCGCTGCTCTGTCTCTGAACAAGCACGCACGCCTCGTTTGTCTCTTCTGTTTCTCGTGGGCTGCTCTGCAACCCGGCCGGTACCCCAGGTTTCTGTGACTGGTTGCTTAGGAATGGTTTGTGCGTATGATTTCAATAACTGTTTTGTTTTGAAATAAACATGCTTAAAAAAACACCGCTTTCCAAGAATTAATTAGCTCTTTTGTGTCCTTCCAAAGTGTAAACACCTACAGCCTGAAAAAGAAAATACTCTTGTTTCTGGGAAACTTTCATAACAAGTTTATAAACACGTTAGACAGCATCTTTCATCTCTTGAAGGTAATATACTTCAGGTTTCCATTGGTGACAGAGAGCAAGGGTCATACCTGTCTCATGAGTTTTATTCCAGCAGTAGGTCTGAGTTAAAAATGAGTTATGACACTGATACGAACTAAATAATGTTCCAGGACTTGAAATCCTATTTTATACTCTTGATTTTAAGCATGTCTCATAGTTTCCCCCTGTAATAAGAATGTAGTCAGTTTCTTGGGATTTTTTATTTTTAAGGCAGAAAACAGTGGAAAAGAAGTTAACTTAATGTTCAAGCCACAATAGATAAAAGCAGAAAACGTCCATGGTAAAATTAGAATGCTCTGGCATCCAGGGCTGTTAAATTGAATTACTTTTATCGTTGTTTTTCGCTTTGAAAGAATGACTCATTCTTTCTAAACAGAAAATAAAAATGATTAGCTGCAGAAAAATCAGAAAACTAGAAGGATAAACAATATGCTTTTCCCCGAACAGCTCATGTTCTACACACTGAATTGTCAACACAATCATTTTCCTGTCATTAGGCATGCCCTCAGTAGTCATATTGACTCATTGATGGACTGTTTATGCTTACACTTGAGCTGTTAATCACTATTGTTAAACAATGCTTATGTCAAACATCAACATTACACACCCAAGGAAAATGGTTTGATTTGGAAATAGTTAATATCTCCAATATCCAACTTTAATAGTATGTGTTTTAAAAATCAGCTAGAGGAACTCACAGGGTACTTGATACACCTGTGCAGTGTTACACTCCGTAATATCACATGATCTAATTGTAGGAAGCAGGACTTCAAAAATGGTCCAAAGTAGCATGTGTACTGGCACAACACACACGTTATCAGTGTGGAAACTCTTGGATTTTATTGTACTGGAAACTTGCCTTAGCTTCATAGTTCCATATTGCTTTTTTTATTAACTTAATTTTGACTTAAAACATTGTTTAAATAGGGATCAATTTAATTATAAATGTAATATAAAGTTGACTTCTGAAGATAGAATCCTCAGTATTTTGTTCAAACATGTGTCTTAAATTTCACAAAGTGTACTTAAAGAGGAAATACATTTGGAGTGAGCGGGTAAAAAGAGCTTTAAGATGCAGCTTCCCATCCTCGGATTGGTTTTATGGGTAGACATTTGTGAAGAGGCTTTGCTCACAGCGTATTCTAGTCCTAAGGCCTTCCTCAAGTTATTATCTCCTCTTCTTTCTGTCCTTGAGTTCTTTATCATCCTTTTTGAAGAAGAGGTTAGTAATCATTCTTTAATAGATTATGGCTGCTTAGTTCATTGAAACTTTATTTTAACTTGTATGTATTAAAGTCACTGGGGAAAAACTGAATGTTCTATGAAAGTTAACAGAAAATATCATTTCATGAAGAAGGATATAATCAAAACTTCCCTTGCAAACAAAGTTAAATGCATGCTGTATATGTATAAAGACATATAACGTATACACATGGAGTACTATGTTGTGGTAAGTTATTCACACAGTTTGAACCAAAGACACAGAACAGAGCCCTAAAGATGGAAGTAATTGTATGGATTCTATAGTCTAAACTCCTCCTCAGATCTTGAATTTTATTATGTGTGCTTCTAGATGGTGGATTGGAAACCTACAGTGGCCCATTGTAGGTATCGGCATTAAGAGTTAGTAAGAAAATTTTCCTCTGCCCCCTTAAAACTTCTGTATTTCTGTTGTGATTTAGCAGACTTTAGTATTGCTTTAAAAGCATTAAACAGCTTTACAGAGATTTCTATGTATTTGAAAATTGTCACAGGGAAGTCAATGAGTTCATATGCTCCAAGCTCTAAGAAGGAACCATGATGGGAGTCAGACAATAGGGAGCAGTGAGGATTTTGGAGAAATGGAGAGCTCACAGAACAAGAGACAACTTTCCTCAGTTCTTGCTAATTGTTACCATGGATTAATGTCTTCTAGTAAAGAGATTCTGTAAATATGGATTTTTATGTATTATCTTGCCATTTTTGAAAGTTGGCAACTAATTAAATACAATTTTTGTTCAGGCCAAACAAAATAATCACACCTGCAGACTGGATGTGACCTCTGAGCAGCTGATTTGTGATCTCTGTTAGAGACAATAGGAATTAAACATGTGATTTAAAACTTTGTCCCCACTCTTTATGACTAACTTCTGAAATACTGATTCATCCTCTCATGTAAAGTATCTATATAATTGTCTTGATAGATAGAGGACAATTTGGGCCATACTTATTTTTGTTTTGAGGGAGAATAGATCTTTCATATGTAGTTCCTCTAATTGTCATTTTTTTTTTTTTAACGATTAAGCATTTTAAAATTCACTGTGTTATCAAGCAACATTGAAAATGTATGTGTTTGTTCTTTGGTGCAACAGTTATTGTTGTCGAATCTATGTAATCAGAAGAGCCTTTTAATTAGGTACTTTATTTAAGTTTGCATTTTGTAATTAGATCTGAAGAAACTATTTAGTTCAACCTGGTAATTTTTTGGAAAAAGGGATAGAGTAGCAAAGAAATGACTTGCCTAAGATCTCATATCCAGTCAGTAGCAAGAAACCAGAGTTAAACAGGAATTAGAAAATGAATGATATGTCATTGTGATAATGAGCCTGAAGTAGAGGATCAGTAAGTACATTTTCGTGGGGACGGATACATTTTAAGATAATCGGCTTCGGATATTGTGAATCTCTTGAGCCTGTTCCCGTCTCTGTAGCATCTCTCCAGCCCCCACCACATTGCATTTGCCAAGATGTAGACAGTTGGACTCTGAGTGCTGGAATATACTTTAATGTGATAATGTGTGATTTAATGCACTTTTCTCTCTTGGGAGAGTCCTCTGAGACTATTAGGCGGACTTTTCATAGCAGGATGCAAAATGCCAGTGAAGTTAATTAAAAATAATCTAAAATAGAAGCTATGGAGAGAATCTTCAAGTTGAAATTTCCTAAGAAGAGCTTTGACTTAGAAGCTTAGCTGAGCTGTCAGGAGTGTATAGTGGCTAATCAGGTTTCCTTTTTGGGAAACCTGTTTATTTCAATTTATATAATGTATGCTTGTATATATCTATCTTCTTCTGCTTTTATCATATTGTTTTATGCTTTTGATTACATATGGCATTTCTCAAAATATGTCATCTTTAGACAGTTTCTATCCCTGGCTCTCAATTGGGGATGATTTTGCCCTCCGGGAGACATTTGGCACTAACTGGAGACGTTTGGTGGTCATTATACGGGAGTGTGTGGTGTGTGCTGCAGTATTCGGTAGGCGGAGACCAGGAATACTGCTACATCCTACAGTACAGCAAGGGAAACCCTCAACAAAGGGTGATCTGGCCCCAATGTCAATAGTGTTGAGGTCCAGAAACTCTGCTATCCTAATTTCTGGAGGCCACTGACATTTCTTTACTTCATTCCAGACTTACAGAATCAGAATCTTTGGCATTAGGACCCTAGAATCTGCATTTTGAACACATTCCACGCATTCTTTAACTCTAGCTGAGAATCACCATTTTAGAGTCTTTTATCGATAAAAGGATATATTATGTGGATAGACCTTTAAAAACAGTCTCTCTCTCTCTCTCTTTCTCTTATTGTTTTGAAAGGAAGCATTTCAAAGGCTTTTAAGAAGTTCCTTTATCGCGTTCCAAAATTTAAGTTGTATTCTTCCATATAAACCCTTGATTAGTGCTCTCCAAAATTTGTTTCACACACTCCACTTTGTTTCACATGCCTTCAAAATACTCCAGAGTCTTCATCTTCAATAAAATGTATTTACACAATTATATTTAATACAATTCAACATCTATTTTGAACATTATAAAATGAGTTCAAACGTGAAAATCACGAAGAATAAGATAATAAATAAATCGAATTTCAGTACTTTCTTTTGCCACCTTAGATACTCTTGTCTTGCTGCCTCACATTTCTCGTTGGAAACCCCGGCATATGGCAAACAAGGAAAGAAGGTCCCGATTTTCATATGAGTTGTATTCACTTGTAAGTTGTTTTGTTTTGTTTTTTGAGAGGTTTTAGCTATAGGGCACGTGCGCTTGCCAGACAGAGACAGAGAGACAGAAAGCGAGAAATCACCCCCCAGGGCGGATGGTCACGCCGCAATCCCTTCTCCTCCATTCTCCTCTTGGGATCTTGGGCACACATGCACACGCGCCCGCGTGAGTTTAAGCCACCGGGTCTGGGACTCGAACCGCGGTTGACTACGTGGGAGTCCAGTGACATAGCCATTACACTAACTGCTGGTCCTGTAGGTTGGACTTTGGAACCTGGAGTATACTTTCTAATAGAAACAGA